TCTTTTTCAGCTCTTTTCAGTTACAACCAAGCATGCAGTGAATAGCCTTCCTAGTTAACCTAAAGTAGAGTTTTGTTGTGTTTAATATAATAACTATATAGTTTTCGTAGATCAGTCTTTTTGAAAAAGTTGGTGTGAGGGATCGTCGGAAAGAGTTGTCTGTAATGCTTTATTGTGATTTTTTTACATTATGTAAATTTATATTTTATATAATTATTAGAATAAATTTGATATAATATTAAAATAATTTGTAAAACTAGTAAATTGAATAAATACATATATAATAAAGATATAAAATAATTTATTTAAAATTAGAATAACTTGTAGTTTTTAAAGCATTAATAAAACTACCTTATATATTATTTTAATTTTTTTTTCTTCATACAAATTCATAAAGGTGATTAGTAATATCATCTTTCATCCTATTACAGAGTAGAATTCTTAATTTCAAACTATTTCACAACTTCTCAATATTATTAATATAAATATTGATCATAGAGTTTACAAAGTTTATAAAATGATTTATTACATTGTGGGTCATACTTAAATCTTTAAGCCTATTATATCCTCACTACATGTTTGTATACATAATAGAGCTTTCTAAAACATATTGTGATATAACTTTAAGTAATGTATTAGCAGTTTTATTAGCAATTACTTTAACAAAGCATCTTTTTTTCTCTGTCCATTTAACCTTACCAATAACCCATACTTTATCAATTTGGTAACCTTAATGATACTTTCTTTTACCTAATATTACAAATTAAAAAGTAAAAAAATCAATTAGTTAATAAGCTAATAACAAATAAATTAAACCTTTTAGATAACTAATTGATTAGTTGCAACTAATTAACTAAAGAATTAATTATTAATTGCTCTTATCTATTTTAGTTTTATTGATTTCAATAATCACAATAGGCATACTAATCATATTATCATCATTTTTTAGAGTACTAAAAACTATCTTTCTAAACAATTTATGTAATTTGTAATAGTTGTTAACAAATGACCTGCCATACACAGGTTGAATAAATAAATAAAGGGTGAATAATAGGTAAATAATAGAAAAAAATTCTGCCATTATTCTACCCTATATCTGCCAAATAATGGTAGCATAACAGTAGCATAATAGCAGAATAACAGTAAAATAACAGAAGGTTTGTCAATATTAGTAACATAATAGTAACATAATAGCAAAATAATAGAACAGTTCTATTATTTTACTATTATGTTACTATTATGTTACTCATATTAACAAACCTTCTGTTATTTTACTGTTATTTTGCTATTATGCTGCTGTTATGCTGCCATTATTTGGCAGATATAGGGTAAAATAATGGCAGATTTTTTTTCCGTTATTTACCTATTATTCACCCTTTATTTATTCATTCGACCTGTGATACTTAGTATATTTGTATATGTAATTTTATTTAATTAAAAATAATTAATTAATGTAGTGTCAGAACATTTTAGATGATTTCTTGAAAAAAAATAAATCATTTAATATAGAAAAAGATTTACAACAAGTACAATTAATGTATCAATAAAGTTTTTTTTATAATAAAATAAAAAGTTACAAAAAGAACAAGATTGCAGATTTTATAATATATCTTTATTAAATAAATAATTGATACATTCATTTTCATTAAAAAAATTGTATAATTAAATTTTAAAGTAGAAGGTGAAACTATAACAAACATGTTTAAAATTTTTGTTTTTTTTTACTATAATAAACAATATAAAAAATAGACTAATTTAAATTTAATAGTATATGAAAAGATAATAAATTTTTGTAAATAAAATGTTTCTTTTATAATTTTTGGAGAACCAGCAGAGCCAAATGATGTTATATAATAAAGACATTAATATTAATAGTATTGGAGTTGGTGTGATGTAATGATAGATGATGCTATTAAGAGTGATAATAAAATAATAATCTTAAAGAGGATGATGATTTAATAATATCTTAATAAGAATAATAATATTAAAGAAGATGATCAAATAAGTTTGATGATAATTTTAAGTTAATAAATACATTTTATAAGCAAAAAACCAACAACAAATGAAGTAAATATACCCATTCAAAATTGATGATCAATTTTATAAAACCAAGAGAAGCATCAAAAAAGAAAAATAGGTATTAGTAAACATATTTTACAAGCAAGAAAACCAAATAATAAACAAAAAAATATACTTATCTAAAATCAAAAATCAATTCCAAGAAACCAAGAGAGAAGTATTAGAAATAAAGAATAAGCATTAGTAAACACATTTTATGAGCAAGAAAACCAAACAACAAATGAAGTAAATATATTCACCTAAAATCAAAAGTTCAATTCCAAAAAACTAAGAGAGAAGTACTAAAAAAGAAGAATGAATATTAGTAAACACATTTTGCAAGTAAGGAAACCAAACAACAAATAAAGTAAATATACCAACTCAAAATCGAAAGTCAATTCTAAGAAACCAAGAAAGAAGTACTAAAAAAGAAGAATAAATGTTAGTAAACACATTTTACAAACAAAAAAATCAAACAACAAACTAAGTAAATATATTCATTCAAAATTGAAAGTCCAATTCCAAGAAACCAAGAACACCAGAAAAGAAGAATAAGTATTAGTAAACACATTCTATAAGCAAGAAAACCAAATAACAAATAAAATAAATATACTTACTCAAAATTAAAAGTCCAATTTCAAGAAACCAAGAGAGAAGCATCAGAAAAGAAAAATAGGAGTTAGTAAACATATTTTACAAGCAAGAAAACCAACTAACAAATAAAGTAAATATATTAACTCAAAATCAAAAATCAATTCCAAGAAACCAAGAAAGAAGTATCAGAAAAGAAGAATGGGCATTAGTAAACATATTTTATAAACAAGAAAACCAAACAACAAATGAAATAAATATATCTACCTAAAATTAAAAGTCTAATTCTAAATGAAAAAATTAAAAAAAAGTACCAGAAAAGAAAAAAGAGTATTAATAAACCCAAAATCAAAACTATCTAACTTCCAACAAAGTAATAAAATTTGACAAATAAATTTTCTAAAAAAAATAAATATCTGACCTTTATATAACTCAAATTGACTTGTAAGAGTTAAATATTTAACTTTAATTAGCATGAGCTAGCTTATTTAATTTTATAATCATTTAATCTAACTAACTATTGTATTATGTAATCATGTGAAACTAATCAGAGTTGCCTACCTATACTAAAGAAGATCTGTATAGGAATCATATTATGATTTTTTATATTTGCCCACCTATACTAAGATTAACCTAAAAACTATCAGAAATAATTGAGTTAAGACAAAAAAACAGAATGGTTCAAAAAAATTAAAGAAAAATTGCTTAATAGACTAGAAAGCAGAGAGGTTAAAAAACATTTTAAAACAGACAAATACAATATACAAGCAATAAAGATCAAATATAAAAATCTGTTAAAAAACAAAAGAAGAAAAAAATAGATAATATATAGTATACAAAATGCTAGATGACTAAGAAGAATAGTTAAAAAAAGATACTAATAGAACATTAACAAATGTAAAATAAAAAATCATCTAGTAACTAAAATCAACAAATGTAATAAGTGCACAAGAGAATAAAAGACAGTAGAAAGAAATTGCTAGTATTAGATAAGAACCAATAGCAAAATAAATACAATTTCAGATAGACTAATAGAAAAAATAATAACATAATTAAGATAACAACATACCAATTAATAAGAAATATAAGAGCAGAAGAGTTGAAAAAAACAAAAGTTAATAGGTCTCAAAATGCTAAAAAATCTGAAATTAAAGTTAACCAAAAGGCAAAAAGCTAAATAAAAATATTATTTAAATAATTGTAGAAGTTTTTAAAAAAATATAATAAAAAGTAAAAACAAATATACGATATACACAAATAATGCAGCAAACATAAAGAATAAAGAAAAAGCAACAGATAGAAAAATAGGTATAGGATGGGTGCAGACAAGTAAATTATTGCGTAGAAATTTATTGAATATATCATAATCAGTGATATTCCGTGTTTGTGTGAGTGGAGTATGACTGAAACAATTTATGATTGAAATTTTTTTATAGAGAAAATGATGCTTAATTGCACAAGAAATTTCAAGATCAAGCATAGTGCAAAGGAATGTAAAACATAAAAACAATCCAAGAAAACGACATATCCCGACTTTCACCAGATTGCCGTTTCGAAAATGCTCATTTTTTCGGAACAAACTCATTTCTATAGAGTCCTGATAATTTTTGGGTAAAATTCAAATTTTGATAAGATTCGGCTTCTAATTATAAAGTACAAATTATTAGAAGCCGAATCTTACTCGGATTTAATCTTTACCTGAAATTATCAGGATTCTATAGAAATGATCAGGAATTTGTATGGTTTGTTCTGAAAAAATGAGCGTTTTCCGGAATGATAACCTGGAGAAAGTCGGTATTATTCAATTAATCTTTGATTTCTTGTAAAGACCGGGGTCTATGTGTTATAAGCCGATCGACTCAGCTATATTGGGTACCGAAAGTCCTGGGCTGAAGAACAGTTCCGATCTCAAATTATGGTCTGGGTCCAATAAATTATAAAAGTAAAGAAAAAAAACCCAAAATTTATTACGTATAACTAGGAATTTGCAAGTACCGGGCGTACTGGGCATGGTGCTTTTAAAGCAGTATCTGGGTAACAGTACCTGGGTAACTGGACACTACGGTTTAATGGCATAATACCCGGTAACTAGTATCTGATCTCTAAGTTTTTAGCATGAAATTTTAGTTTAAGATGCAATTTTTAGTGTAAAGTTATAAGGAATTTTTAATATATTACAGATTCATATTTTCGAGTTGGTATTATACCTATCGGCTAAGCCACTAAGCTATTAAAAATTTAATGGCTTAGCCTAGCCGTAAAAATTCAATCGGTTTGAAACACCACTATATGCAGCGTTGTACAGTATTCAGAATAATAAAATATTTAATATGTTTATATCTTTTTTTTTTCTTCTTTTTCAGATAAATTTGCTATAAAATCATAATATATCTAAATGTTAATATAAGGATATATATTAGAATAATAAAAGAGCTTGATATATATTTATATATTAATTGAGCCCGTGTAAAGGTAAATAATGCACAGATTTTTAACATTATATAAAAAATTATCCTATAAACGATTATGCAAAAAAAAAAAAAAAATTTCAAATATTTGAGAAAAATATAGTTTTTCTCTTAATAACGATAAATTGCCACCAAACTTGTTAATCTAAGGATAGATTAGCGGTGCAACCAAAATTCAGCAGATCGGCCTGAATCATGGGTCGGATTTAAGCCGGCATTAAGAGGTAACAACAATTAAGTAAATTTAATCTAGTCGGTGCCAGTAGTTGGAGCGTTTACTTTCTATTCGACCCATGTCTATTAAATAACTATTAATTTTTCTTAAACATTCATTTACTTGGATTTGTAATTGAGCCGCATGGAAACTGGGATAAGTTCGGCCATTAAATAAATATCTTCATTGCTAAAATCGTTCATTTTTGCGATAGCATTAAAATATTCTAGATCCGGTATCAATTATTAATAATCTAGGTAGTTAAGAGGAAATTTTCATAGCAAATCGCAAACTTAGTTTCTTACTAGCACAATTAACGAGGTTTTGACGAGGCTTTTTGACGGAGTATGAAAAATTACTAAGTTTTCATATTCCGTCAAAAAGCCTCGTCAAAACCTCGTTAATTGTGCTAGTAAGAAACCAAATTTGCGATTTGCTATGAAAATTCCTCTTAACTACCTATATTATTAATAATTGACACCAGATCTAGAATATTTTAACGCTATCGCAAAAATGAACGATTTTAGCAATGTTTGTGATCTATTATCTATAATCTCTAAAGCAGTACCCTCCATACTACTCTTAAATTGGGAAGATACTAATACGCCTCTTCGTTGTATTTCTAAAGAATAATTGGAATATAATTGGGCATACTTTGTTCGCATCGTCCGAACATCTTCTATTTTTGATTGAACATATTCATTAAATCTATCTATGTTATTTTCTCTCACAGCAGCCAACCATAGCTCTCGTATCTTTGCTGAAAAGTCACAAACCCCAATAAAGGTTCCATCATTTCGCATATGTATATTTAAAGGTGTATTTCTGATAAATTGATTATAGCATTCTTCACAAAATGATAATTCTTCCGGTTTTGTAATTATAGGTGAATACCATGTTATGCCATTTACAAAAGTTTTACCGGGACAAGGCATATTTCAGGTACGATTTAGAAGACTATTATTATGGATTATTAACAGAATTTTAATGGTATTTTTAGGTTTAGAATTGAATTTTTCGTCGTTTTGAAGATACAACATTTGATTATAAATAAATAGCAATCATATTTATACATAACGATAATTAATTAATTTGCTGTTTAATTTGCGCACTAAACATTTAATTTATAAAAACCACATTTTTTAAAAATTTGTACGGTATGTACAATATGTAATAAAAATGTGTCGTACACATTGTACACATAATGTGTTTGTTATTACGTACAAAAATAATTAAGTTTTTAACGACTGGTTCTAAGTTTCTATTTTTTTTTAATTGAAAGTTTAAAGGAATTGAATGTTTAAAGGTAATGCAATAAGTCCTTAAACGATTCGTTCTAAAAAGCAAATAGTATAAATCATAACTAATTATTCTAGTAGATCTAACAGAAAAATATATAAATGGTTTAAGCATTGTCGCATAGAAGCCTGCGAACGAAAATTAATAATGTTACAATGTTTTGTGCAAATTAGTATTCGGGCTTTTTAGGAAAATTTATAAATTTCCTGATAAAGTACGTATTGTTCTTACGTAGCATTCCAATTTTTCAAGAAATGGAAAATACTATGAAGAAAATTTATAATTGTACACGGGTATTAATTTTCGTATAACATACCAATCAACCCAATTTTTACGAACGAAAATTAAATCATTGATTATAGGGTGGGCTTGAGATTGGGTGAGGTATAGTTATACCAAAATTTCGCAAGAAATTGTTTTTTTTTAGAAGCAAAAAGATGGGTTCATAATCGAAATTTTGAGATATTGGTTGGTTTTGATATTGCCCGTGTACATACAACCCATGTACAAATAGAATGCCTAAACATGAAAATGTGAACAACAGGTGTACTAACAAAATTTTCCTGGTTCTGTTATGCTAAACATTTGTAAAAAGAAACTTGCATGTGTCACCGTTCGTTATTTTTCAATTTATGTCACTTGTATTGTCATTTACAAATTTAAAATTAATATACGTTATCTCATAATTATGAAAAATTTTGCACGGATCGTATTTTTGCGACCGGCACCCAAAAAAGTTTCGAACACCACGTGACAAATATATTGAGCACTAAAATTCATGTAATAAAAAAATTTAAACTGACTAAATAAAATAAATTAATCATTTTATTTATTTCGAATAACCCAATAAACGTAATATTATTACAGCCTGAAAGTATTATGATCCCGAGTTTTCTAAATATTTGGAATATTCCATTGCCACAAAGTTTTTATTAATACTATCGAGCCATTTGCTACTACAGTCAGGCTTCGTTATGGTCACTCTTGATATAGTCACAACCTTGATATAGTCACCCTGTTTTTGTTCCTAGCTTAAATTTTGACCTTCATATAGGCACAACTTTTTATAATCACCAATTTTTGGTTTTCCGGCCTGGTGATTATATCAAGGTCTGACTGTATTTGAATTAATTATATTTTTCAATAATTTTTTGCTGTTGCATCCTGGATTCAAATAATTATAATTATAATCTTCGGGAAGAGCATTTATATTTTAATAAATATTATCATATGGTCTAATCATGATGAATTACCCCGATTCCTATAGATATATATATCATATATTCGTAATTAATAGTAGTAGGTTTTAATTATAATTGACCAATTACATAATAGCTCTATATCACATGATATGGCATGCCGTGCCCAATCCTACCGGCAACAAATTCATATTTTTTCTTAAATTTAAATTTGAAGTTTTAAAAAGATAAAATTTTGATGTAAATTTATTTTAAGCATTCAATTCGATTCAATTTGAAGCAATAACTAAATAAGTTTTTCATCTAATAATTCGAATAAATAAAAAAAACCAATTATTTTTTTTCGATAATCTCGTGATTTCGTAAGTCATATGCTTAATACTCAGATTGAATTTTAAGCAGTGTTTGACTTGACCATATGGGACCGGCGATATATCGTCACAGCGTTAAATTACTAAGTTCCACTCATCAAACATCAATATCAATTTTTTAAAAACAAACTATCCGCCGAAGATGAATTTCCTAGTCCATTCCCTGTATGTGAATATGCAGATATTTAAACTGAGTAATATATATGAAATTCTGTAGTGGCAGTATATAAAGACTCGGTGTTTCAATCACATACAATTATTATAAACTGATAAAAAGAACAATGAATGTTACTATTTTTTCCTTGGCAACATTCATATCGATGACATTTGATTAACTTTACACAACGATATGTAAAAAATCTTTGTTGGTAAATTGACACTTAAATAACTTAATACAATTACACAATTGAAAGAACTTTTTTTGAAAGAACGAGATATACCATATACACATTCGAATAATGTATTTCAAAGAAACTCACTTTTTTGCCACTAAAAAGTATCAAAATTTCAAAAATTTCAGTACCTGTCATGCAGCTTACACGACAAAATTGAATTTAAGTTTTTTTTTTGTTTTTTTTTGAAATAAGATATATCATATGAGTGCTGCAGAGTGAAAAGATGGAAGTGAATATTTAAGTTCTCACCATGACGAAATTCGCCCCTGAAGAATTTCGATATTACGTACTGATAGTTCAGTAACGACTAGGGGTGGGTCGGTTACGGTTACGGTTATGACCGGTCAATGACCGGTCATAACCGTAACCGATATCGGTCGGTCAAAGGTTTGTGACCGATACTATTTTAGCGATGTTAATTGATTCATTACAATGTTATTATATTACGCAATAATAAACAATTTGAAAAAATAATAGGCTTAAATTATTTTTTCTTGATGTTAATCATCTGAAGAGATTGCAATGCCATAATTGCATTATTTGGTGTAATTCATTACATTTGCTTACATGCTCTAATATTTATAAATAAAATAATTTCTTTTTCTTTTTCATAGTAAACGTGGGTCGTATAACAGTTGTTATACGCCAAATAGACTCACATAAACTCACGTTATAACAGAAAAAGAAAAATAAATCCGTTATTGAATGTTTCGCATCCAATAACTATTTATTATTTTTACTAAGATAATATGTATTAATTAATAAATTTAATGATGACACTCATACCGATGACCGTGATTCTCGTGATTTAGAAGTGCAACGAAAGATGTTTAAGGATAAGTCAGTAATCTTAAAGATCACATATGAATAACTTTATTTTGTATTATGGTATCCTCTTTTTCTTTATATTTGACTTGAGCTTAGCTGTCTATTTTTCTATAATATTATAATTTATACACTCATACTGTTTTGTCTTAAGCTTCACTTCATAATTTATCAATAACACAGCACAGTAATAACCATCATGCTGGACTTCCCCAGCGTAACCATCAAAAAAACTTGGACACGTCATCTTTGTGCTTATATTGCTGATTGATATATACAAAATTACTATCAGCATATATATAGGATAGTAATTTTTATAATTGTTATCGTTATTATTTTTTTTTATGCTTAACGCAATTGATGATGCCACATAAATCACATATCCGGGATTTTTTTTTTTACAGTTATTGGACCGGTCATTTGACCGGTTATATGACCGGTCCAATAACTGCGGTCTGTCGGTTATGAGTCAATGACCGGCAATAATAATAACCGATCGATAAATGACCGTGACCGACCGGACCCACCCCTAGTAACGACTAGGACCTGATTATATACATGTTTAATTACATAACAACAGAATTCACAAGACTAAATGGACTAAACTCGCCATAATGAAAACTTAAATATTCACTTCCAGCTTTTCGCTCTGCAGCACTCATACACATTCGAATAAAATATTAAAATAAACATTTGTTTTTTCGTCACTAAGTATCGGAATTATACATCTTTATTGATCAGTTTTTTCAACCATTTTCTTTCGTTGAAAAAGGCAACTAAATAAAAAAATATATTAACATACGAAGATCTATTCATCACAAACATGGGGGTTGCCCAGTGAAAAGACAAACATGGGATTGCCCACACCGTTCAGTTCATCTAGTGACTGCGTAATTCAATCCCCATACATATGCTAAATAAGAATGGGGTTTACCCACACTCACCTATGAGAAACATTAAATGTCTTGAACTCAGTCTTAAAACTCAGCGTGTCTCAAGTAGCTTCATCAATGTGATTAGCTAATGATCGAGATGTTGCGGGTGGTGGTTATTGCAAAAATTAATTTGGTTTTCAAATTTTAGCCAATCAGAGCAGCCCTATGAAAAAACTTTGTGGTCGCATCTCCTGGAATTTTTCGTCAATCAGATCGGTTGGTAAACACTGAGGGAGACGGCCATAGTGTGATTTGGGTTCGTTGAAAGCTATCAGTGACACAAAAATTAATATGAAATAATTAATAATTATGTGATTTGGTAGTTTGTCATGAATCGCACTAA